CCCCCCCCCCCCCCCCCATTTACAGTTCCAAAAGCAAATTCAAGAACACTTTTTCAGGCAATGTCATGAAAGTTCATTCTCTATTTTTCAAGGTCAACAAAAATTGTTAATAGATGTAAAGACATTTCCAACCCAAGTGAAGACTGTCCTAAGAACAGTTGTATAAGTTACAATAAATGAAGCACATTCCTGTAGGAAACAGGACTATGACAACTTCTTATATTCCAATATTAGAATAGTAACAGATGCCCTTAACACTGAGGTTGCTTGGACAGTCTTAGGTATTTGTATTGTTTTTTTTTTCTTTTGTTCTCCTCAAGGTCCTACAGAGCAGTGAGTTCCACATTTCAGCAGTTCACTGGTGCTCCCAAGCCCATGAAACTACTCCTCCAAAAGCTTGACAATCTGCCTCATGGACATATCACAGTAAAAGCAGCGGGACTAGAAAGAAGTACAGGAGAACAATGAAGATGTCTCGCTTTCAGAACACTACATCCCACACAATAAAGAAAGCATTTAAGTTATGACACAACTATATATAGAAGCTTGTGCTAGCTTGTGGCAGAAGTATGCAAAAACTTAAAAAAAAAAAAAAAAAATGGTTGTAATGATACTGCAGCCAGAATTGTTCTGTATGCTCAGGACTCAAAATTCAAGTCTATAGGTACATACAGACATTCAGGGACATGAGATCAAGTTAAAAAAATGGCTACCCAATCTACGGTAATCCTAGAAGGGGGAGGGGTAGTGAGATCTGGGAGGGTTTGGCCGAATCAGGGAGGCTCATGGGGGGCTCCTCTTCCCTGCCCTCTAGGAACAAGGGCTATTTTTACCACCCTCCCATAACTTACTTCCTTGGCTCCTGGTACTCAGAGTAGCTTGTGGGATAGAAAGGCTTGGTGGTTTTGGGGGGGTGGGGAGGGGAAGGGAGTCTGCTGGCTGGCCTGTGGGTGAATTGTCCATCTGGGGTTAGGGGGAGGGGCTGGGGGGGTGGAAAAGCACAGCCCAGATGCCGGGGTCAGCAGCTGGGATTGGTCTCACCTGACCTGATCCAAGTTAAAATTCCTCACCAGTACAGTTAACATAGATATGATCAGCCATTTTTAAACTGATCTATTGTGCTGAACTCCAGTACAGTTTACACTTGGATCCACCAACCTAGGGATCAAAGTGTAAGGTCCACACTTGGGCAAAATGAGTTAGATTTGGTGGTCATTTCTGACATGATCTAGCCTCCCCATACAAATGTCTGTATGTACCCTATAGGAAAGAGTCCATTAGGGTCACACAAGTATCCAAAACACGAAAAGACGTGGCATTGCTACACATGCATCTCTGTATCCAAGAAATAAAATACTCTTGCCAGTGAAAAAACCCTAGCTGCAGGGTTTAGGAGGAGACTACTTCAAAGACCCACTTCTTCAGTAAAAATAGATCTAGTCAAAAGTTCAACTGCTTTGTCAATGTTTATCTAGCATATAGATCAGCACAAGACTTTAAGGGCACCTATACACGAACTATGGAGTGTGGCAATTACCATGCTCCAGCAAACTCCAGCATCTCGCGTATCAGCATCCCTGTGCTTAAAAGTGGCTGCAGGGGCACTTTAAGCTAAAGCTCATCAGCATTCCCGCCTCCATTTTTAAACATGGAGCACTGATACATGAGATACTCCAGGCACTTTAATTGGAGTGGCTCTCTGAGAACCACTCCAATTAAAGTGCCCTCCCCCCAGAGCACTTGTATAAATGCCCTAAGACTCTTAAGTTTGAGGGCTTGAGTTAAGCTTTTCAACAAGCACTACAAGGAAGAGTTCACTATAATGTTCACAGCTGACAGCAAGTTAACTGAGAAGTCTTGGACTGAATAGTACTTTAGGCAATTCCTCAGCATTTATATCAATGGCCTCCAAGCACTACTCATTCTTCCTCTTCAAACAAACCAAACAAACAAACCAACCAACCATGGATTTGGAAAGGTTAACCACATTTTGCATTTCTCTTAAGGTCTCTACATACCATAGGTTACTGACTATAGAATCTTGTCATCTGTTAAATTCAGAGGCCTTGGTGTTAACCTGTTAGTATCAAGTCCATTCAAAATCTCAAATTACAGTGCTAATTACAGAAAGAACTTATACTAGACACCTGACCACTTTTAGACTGATTATGTCACAAACCAATCCTAAAGTGACAATTAGTGCACTCTAATGATGCCTTTTCTCCCTACCATGCAAGGCCTACTCTAACTCATCTTCCATGCTAATAATGTCCTGCTGCAGCAAAAAGTAAACAGACATAATGTAGCACAGTAGATCAAATAATGCATCTACTTATTATGTGACTGGTGCCATTTCCATACACATTGGGATGGAAGCTGCATTATAATTCACAGGAGATATTTTGCATGATGGATGAAAGAATGCAAGATCTCTTCCTAAAGTGTTTTAATTGCCTGTTGCTTAGATTTTTCCTGGTAGTCTCTTAGCCCTGTAATGAAGAGAAACCAAGTTATAGGTTGAAACCAAGTTCTGTTCACTGTATCTTTTGTTGCCCTCTGGATGAATGTTGTCAAGGCCCTTTTAGAAGGACAAATGTGCACAAATCAATTGCTATCTTCCAGGGCAAGTTGATCAAACAAGCACTCCCCTGCCCCATCCTGGGGCACTCCCAGGCACTCCACCAGTTTCCCAGCTGGTTTCTCAGTTCCTTGAAGGCCTTCACTTGTTTATCCAAGCATTCAGACTCCAAGAAATCACAAAAGGTAAGGGATGGACTTACATCTACTTCAACATGCAGTACTGAGGCTTAGGTAAGTTAAACCCTCTGCCAAGGTAAACTGGGGGAAGGCACTACTTTCAATTGTTCTGACAGAGAAGTTAAGAGTCACTCACTGTGAGGCAAACACAAGGAAGCTATGTCAACTAAATTAGTATAATCTACAATGAATTGGAGCTCTGCAATCCACTTGCATTTATAAGACATTTAAAAGCAGACTGTAGAAGCTATTTGCAATTTGTCAGCTTGTTGTTTGCAGTTTAATTTAGTTTTTCCTTTCAAGGAAATCACTATCCATTTACATGCAAACAGATGTATCCAGTATGCCTCCAGTAGGTATGGCAATATTTATTGTTCAATTTATACATTGGCCCTGAATTATCCCTGGCATAGTTAACTTTTTAGAGTTAGACCACTGACCCTAACCACGGGTTCTGAAAGCTTTATTGGCTTTTATGGCAGCTTCTGTGTCGTGAGCCCTAAAAAAATGTGCAATTACCACACTACTTGGCCAGTCTGCAAGGGTGGACCAAGCGCATGTGGTCCAACCCAGAGCATGGCTCTATACCCAGTGCACAGGGACAAATACAGCCCATGAGGTCATCCACAGGCCTGATCTGGCATATGGGACTGACCCCTCATGCTGACCCCACACACTGGATCTGGCCCATAAACCAGCTGCGCTCCACTCATCTGGCCCATGCAGACAAAAGAGGTTGAGCACCACTGATCTACCCAATACTACTATGGGTTAGGCTCCAGCAGAAGCACATGCAGTAATTCCAGACTTGACAGAAACAAGCAACATCTGTCACAGACTTCAAAGACAATTTACATCCAGCCAGTTGCTGGGAGTCAGTTGTAACCAACAACATCTTCACTGAGTTGGTGGGAAATAGAGCAATGCCAGTCTTAACAAATCATTCCTAAATTCCTTTGTACATCCACCTCCAGTACAGCTCTGAAAATAGCCCTTCTCCTCTTCATATACTCATATGGGGGCGGGGCAGTCACTCTTTGCCATGGCCAACTTTGTATACTTATAGGAAGTGTAGCAGAGCTAATAATTTTTTCTGTATATTTGAGCACATTAGTACTATTATAGGGGGAAGGAAGGTTATCATTGACTATAGTGAACAATGGTCACTATAGTGGATAGTGAACAATGGTCATAAGCTGATGGAGAATAGGTTTAGGTTGGAGATCAGAAGGCAATATTTTACAGTTAGGGTGGCCAAAATCTGGAACCAGTTCCCCAGGGAAGTGGTCCTCGCCCCTACCTTGGGCATATTCAAGAGGAGGTTGGATGATCACCTGTCTGGGGTCTTGTGAACCCAGCATTCATTCCTGCCTGTGGCAGGGGGTCAGGCTAGACGATCTGTTCAGGTCCCTCCTGACCCTAGCTACTATGAAACTATGACTATAGCTAAGCTTATAGCAGCTGGTGGGGGGGGGGTTCAAAGATTCCCACATAACTCTCTTAGCACAGCTCAAATGCACCCTCTAGTATTACTGCTGCAGGTGTTAAAAGGCTACACATATAATACCTTCCTAATAAACAACTTCCTTTCAGGAGCAAGAAAGATAAAATTGCAAAGTGAGTTATTGTAACTGCTCTCTATTCTTTGCTGTATTAATGCTTCTTACAGGAAGTAATTTCACCCTATAATTTACCAAGTGTTTGACTCTTCTTACAGAGTGTCCATAATCCTTGTGGTAGATACCAGTTTGGTTTTATGCCTTGCCTTGACACTCTGCAGGATGATACACATCTCTTGCTTGTTCTGGGATCTCAGGATCTTTCTGCACCCTCTCTCTACTCATGGGACTGCTCCCTCAACAACTGAGCCACATGCCTCAAGGCCACACCATCTCAATCAATGTAGTAGACTAGAGAAACAGAAGAGAGGAGTACAGAGATTATAGTCACATCTCTGATTGGTTACAGACACACAGTATAGCATAGTTACCTACGCATATCCCACATAGATATTAAACTCCCCCACCCCACTTGTTAAGTTAGCATACACATGGATCAGAACAGAAGTTACTTCAAAAACCAAGTATCTTTCCACCTCTAACTGGCACTATGTAAGATCTTGTCTTATTAAATGCCTCCGCATTGAAAACTCCCATTAGCTCTATTAAATATTTGTACAGTCAAAGATTGCCAAAGTGTAAAATAGTTGAACTGGTAAAACAGTTAAAATAGCTTAAAACAGTTACATACTTAATAGGGCTTGACAAGAAGCCCAGGTGAAAAACAAACTGAAATGCAGGCATCACTCCTCCCCACCCAATACCTAGAGGCAGCTAGCATACAGTTCCAGGTTCACCCTGCCATGCAGTTCAGAGCAACCAGGTAGCATATAAACATTACCCCACTGGAAACTCCATCTTGCAAAAAGAAAGGCCCATCACTACTTGCAGCTATATGGAGTTATCGCAACAACATGAAACCATTGTCTCAAGCCAAAGAAGATGGTTTTAACAATATTTAGAAGGCTAAGGTCATGATTAATGAGGGCTGACTGATGGGAATTTCTTTCCTTAGCAAGAAACTAATTAGCCTTGCAGGTGCAGCTCTAATTACATTTCTACAGCTGAGCATGCAACTCAACAATAAGCACACCACATTGCTGCCATGCAATGAGGTCAGTCCTGTCAGGAATACATTTGTTTTTTGAAATTCCTTCATTGGCTGCTGCTCACAGAAGTTATGCCTCAAATCGCCTCTCAACATTGTTGTTTAGTGGCAGTCTCAAATTGTTTCACATTTACATAAATAAATAAATAAATAAATAAATAAAAATGTTACCGCTTATTCCTAGAAAAAGGGGTCCTAATTTCCTTGACAACGAATTTTGCCTTACTCCTATCTTTAAACATGATAGTTTGCAATTATGCAGCAGGAACTATTAGCTTTCAAAGATACCAGCATTCCTATAAAAATTTAGCTCTCCTTACCTTTGGGAAGTTCCTGGATGCTTTTCTTAATGAAAATGTTGTATAACTATTTTTATAATGGTCAGTAAATAACATTACTGGGGCAGAGAAAACTCTTCCCACTATAATTGTTTCAAAGCAAGCAATCCCCACTTAGGCCTATTCCAGGAAATGAGGCATCTCCTTCATTTGGATTGCTCCCAGTAAGCAATCTGGGCCAGAACTTCACCTGCTATAAATTGGCTACAAGGGAGCTATTCTAAATTATACCAGATGCATATGTTTTCTTCCCCATTCACATCCCCATCCCCACAAACACCTTTGCTTGAATGGAAAGTCTGAGCTTTACAGGCCCCAGGTGGCAATCTCAGAGTTGCTCCTAAAGACATCTTCTTTCCTGTACTATTCCATGCCTATTCCAGCATGCTCTAATGGTTGCACCTACAAGTAAATTTGCAAGACGAAAGGGTTAAGATGCTTCAGGAAACAAATAGATAAGTCAAAGAATACTAGCATTAATACTTATATTTTGGCCATCCCCTTTCAGTGCCACTATTTTCCTAAAATGTTTGTTTGGCTATTGTTTTAGGTTTTTGCTGTCAGAAGCCAGCCAGCATGGGAAGAACTCTTCACAAACTCTACATTGCATCTCTCTTGCCTACGTACATCTGCTAGCCACAGCATTTTTTCCACTCAGCTTTACAGATGTAGAGAGAATGTCCCTGCCTTCCTTGGGGCAGGAAGGGTTGCTGGGGGTGGGGGGTCTTTCTCAGTCTTCTGCAGAACTTGCTTTTCTTCAGGCCTTTATGAAAGCCCTTTTATCCTGAAAGGTCAGCTATGCATTTCAGTGCCATAAATACAGATACCAAAATATCACTTCTCCCCAACATACGTGAAATTCCATATCCATTTTTTTTAGCCCTTGTTTCAGGGAAAAAGCTATTCAAAGACTGACAAAATAGACCGGAGAAGAAGGTACAGTAGTGGGATCCTTCACCAACAAAAGCATTGGTAGTAGGCTGTTTCTTCTGCCTCCATGAAAGCTCACCAAGTGTTTAG